TAGTTGACCAGCTAAAACCAGCCAACCATCCTAGGCTGGTTTAGGCTGGATTTTTCAGCAGGGTAGAGTGTGTCAGGTGTAAAATCCAGCATATAACTCATTTATTTCATTGACAAATGTATAATTATTATATATTGTGGAAAGACAGATCTTAGATGGTGTTTACGACCATCATTTATTTCATTTTGAAATAAAGGCTGTATATTCAGATATGGTGGAATTGACATTTGTTCAGTTCACGATGGAGAAAATGTTTCTCTTCTTATATAAGTTTGTCCTCTTACAGATCTTAAACACAAATTGTTAAGCTTACGAGGCTGTTACGTTCATTTTGAACCGGTTTTTTTACTCAACTCCACGAGGCTAAAAGTGGCCGTAGTTGAAGAATATGGCCCTGATATAAAATTACGATCGTGTTGTGTGTGTTAATATCAACAATGTCGTTTAGAAATGTTGTCTAAAGTAGTCGGTGTGCGCGTGTCAGACACAGCTGCTTCCCGCTGATTATAAATGTGAGAGAGCGGAGTGTTTTTCAGCGATGAGAGGAATAATCAGGCGTCTGAAGGGCCGCTATAATGAAATGCGTGAGCAACAGACGAGCACAAAAGAGCCATTCAGCTCAATCATTTCATTAACATCACAGAGAGAGCAGATGAAAGACCGCAGACCTTCTTCACTGCTAATTATTATTAGCAGATTTACCTCAGACACACGGTGAACTCCTGCTGCTTCAGAAATACGAGCTGAAATGGAGGACGATTCGCGAGACACGAATAATTCATCTGTTAAAATAGTCCTAGCAAACGTCATATCACTGTTGTGGAGTGATTATTAATTCGTAAGATCTCATTCACACGTTTAGCTCGGTGTAAAACATAAACAGTTAGGCTATACGTAATTCCCGCGAAAACAAGTTAGCAAACTAGCATCGCACATGAAAAATGCTAGCCTATTGTAATACTGTTTCGAACTACTGTATTAAAGTGTATTATATATATTGCATTTACAATTTAACTATTAAACTATTTTAACTATTTTAAATAAGTTTTTGCTACAGTAAACTGGTACCACAACTAGAAATAGAATTACCACAGATAAATTCAAGTAAAATATACTTGGTTCAAAAACATACACCGTTAACTACAGCATTTTTCTCTCATGTGGGATAAAACTGAAAACTTAAGTGTGCAACCCACCCAAAACTAAACAGTTGTGTTAATTAATTTACCCTCAGTCACTTTAAGACCATAAAGACGATTATTAGCAGACAACAGAGATTTAAGTCATTATATGCAATATTGAACTCTTTCATTTGAAGACAACTGAGGAAATGAAATGTTGAGTTATGAGAACTTGTGAAAATTTGAGAATAAAGTCATTGTTTTGTGTAACAAACTTGTTAAATTTCAAGACAAAAAGTTGATGAAAATAAATATTAAAATTCAAGAATAAAGTCATCGTTTATACAAAAAAATAATAATTTCAAGATAAAGTTGCATTAAAATGTTGAGGAAAAACTTGTAAATTTTGAGAATAAAGTCAATAACTTTCAAGAAAAAAAAACCTAAATAAAGTGTTAACAGTTAACATTTCAAAAATAGTCAGTGTTTTAAGAAAAAAGTCATTTAATTTTAAACAGAAAAGTCTAAATAAAATGTTGAGAATAAACTCATTTTCAGAATAAAATCATTGTTTTTAGGAGAAAAAAATAATAATTTGAAGAAACAAAGTATAAATCAATTATGTTAAGCCAATTACATTCTGAGGACAAACTTTATATCTGTTTAATAAGTTTAATCTCATAATGGTTTCATTTTTTATTGCTTGGTCCTATAATCTACTTCCAAATAAGATACACAAAACTTTATTTACATAAATGTGTATGTTCACTTTATCATGTATTAAATAACTTAAAATTAATAGAACTTTAAAACCATTTCAGTAAATATCACCATTTTAGTAAACACTAACAATAAAATTAACAAAACGATGCACACAGTAAATATAAAAAACTAATTTAATTCAAAGTATTGATGAAATCTAAAAAACATATATAAAGGTTTGCAAAAACACTTCTATAAAAAGAATTTATTCATATCAAACATTAGTTATATATTACACTGTATTTTTAAAGCGTGTATCGTGATCTTCTTCATGAACGCAGCATTATTAACATCATTAAAAGTTGTGGAATATTCTGGGCTGTTTTCCCTCGAGCCCTGTTCAGTGTACAGTCTTTCTAGTGCACTACACCATCTAGTGGCTGAACACAAAAACACAGGGTCACAAAATGAAAAAAATCAAACATGAAAGTTTCCATGATTAATGTAACAAGACTGAAGTAAACATTTGAGATCTAGCAAATCATTGAAACACACACACAGTTAGAAGAAGTCACATATTAAATGTGTATTAATATTAAACGCTGTCTCTGTGTGTGTATGTATGTCAGGCTTCAGGCCGTTGTTTATTCAGTGTTGTTTGCTGATTGTGGTCTGTGTTTTCTCTCTCTTCTGCAGCTCCCACTGCGCTGCGATCCGTGTGCCATAGATGACGAAGCCCCACGACAGCAGAACCACCGACAGCAGAACCTGCACACACACAGAGATGTACAAATCCATGCACACATATACAGAGAAGCACACACACAAACATGCATACATAATACAGTCATACAAATGCTCACACACACACACTGTATGACTCTGTGTATATGTGTGTGCACATGTGTATGACTCATTGTATCTCTCTGTGTGTGTGTGTGTGTGTGTGTGTGTGTGTGTGCAGGTTCTGGTGTCGGTGGTTCTGCTATTGTGGGGTTAAATCATCTACGGCATATGGATCTAGGCATGGGACGATAACCGCTTTTCAAGGTATACCACGATTTGGAAAAGTTACGGTTTTAAAGCAGATAAAATTTTCTGCTATACTGTTCCTAAAATATGAGTAAGATTTTTTATTTACATTAGTTTTTTGAGGACAACAGCATCTCCAAAGTTCATTCATTCATTCATTCATTCATTTTCTTGTCTGCTTAGTCCCTTTATTAATCCGGGGTCGCCACAGCGGAATGAACCGCCAACTTATCCAGCAAGTTTTTACACAGCGGATGCCCTTCCAGCGGCAACCCATCTCTGGGAAACATCCACACACACATTCACACACACACTCATACACTACGGACAATTTAGCCTACCCAATTCACCTGTACCGCATGTGTTTGGACTGTGGGGGAAACCGGAGCACCCGGAGGAAACCCACACGAAGGCAGGGAGAACATGCAAACTCCACACAGAAACACCAACAGAGCCGAGGCTCGAACCAGCGACCTTCTTTGCTGTGAGGCGACAGCACTACCTACTGCGCCACTGATTCGCCCGATCTCCAAAGTTGCCGTTTTAAATTCACAAACCGAATATTATTTGTTATTCACTAAATTACCCAATAAATTTTATTTTATTAATGTCTGCCCAAACCCAACCGGCACAGCACTGTAAAAATATTGATTATTGCTGTAAAGTGTCAGACAATTATGCTGTACTGACGCATCCGCACCTGTATCCTATCTAGACTTCACCGACTTTAAGTTTTTTTTATTTTTAACTAAAACTATTAAAAATAAGCAAATAGTTGTGGCACAGATGGGGAAAGTCTATGCCAGGGTACTGGAGAGGAGGATCTGGCCGATGGTTGAACCTTGGATCCAGAAGGAACAATGCGGTTTTCGTCCGAGCCGTGGCACACTGGACCAGCTCTATACCCTCACCAGGGTGCTCGAGGGTTCATGGGAGTATGCCCAACCAGTCCACATGTGTTGGAGAAGGCATTCGACCGTGTCCCTTGTGGCATTCTGTGGAGGGTGCTCGGGGAGTATGGGGTCAGAGGCGCTCTGTTAGGGCAGTCTCGTCCCTGTATAAACAGTAGGAGTCTGGTTTACATTGCCGGCAATAAGTCAGACTTGTTTCCAGTGCATGTTGGACTCCGGCAGGGCTGCCCTTTGTCACCAGTTCTGTTCATAATATTTATAGACAGAATTTTAAGGTGCAGCCTTGGGCTGGAGGGGGTCCGGTTCGGGGACCACAGGATCTCATTTCTGTTATTCGCAGACGATGTTGTTCTGTTGGCTTTATTGAACATGGACCTTCAGCATGCACTGGGGCGGTTTGCTGCCAAGTGTGACGTGGCTGGGATGAGAATCAGCACCTCTAAGTCCGAGGCCATGGTGCTCCACCGGAGAAAAGTGGTTTGCCATCTCCAGGTTGGAGGAAAGCCCTTGTAGCAGTCGATTCTGTTCCCTTCTGGAATTCCAGTTCCCCCTCTATGAAGCGTATCTGCTAACAGTGTATGCGGACACACCCAAACACAACTGTATGTACGGAAAGCGAAAAGGGACAAAAGTGTTGGCTTTGCTTTTTATGTCTTGCAATGTCAAAGTAGTGCAATAAAATCAATCTTACACTTCCATTACATATTACCTGTGGTTCGTGTTTGCATTCTTAGCTATTTTCTAATGTCTGAGTTTATGTTTTAATAATCCAGCAACAGAAGGAAAAATAAATAAAAAAATGAAATGTAAAAACTTTTATTTTCTTGTTTATCTCTTTGGAAATTGCTATGGTATACCTGCTGTAAATTTGTCACTAAAATGTAAACCTGTGTATGGCAAACATGCTGTCTAAAATAAAATTCCGCTTAAGGAATAAGGAAAAACCTTCTAGATTACGTTGAGAAACTTCATTTTCAGGTTCGCGAAAAATACGTACTTTAAGAACCACTCTGCTTCTCGTATATCCAGTTGTGCTTCCACGGGTACGTTGTTTGTGATCATACGTATGGAGCCTCGGCAACAACACAAACCATGTAGTTTAAACGGTAGAGGGGAACAGACATTCCGAGGGGAACAGAATCGACTGCTACACCCTTACCCCAGGTGGAGGAGTTCAAGTATCTTGGGGTTTTGTTAACAAGTGAAGGAACGTGAGATTGACAGCCGGATTGTTGCAGTAATGTGGTTAATGTACCCGTTCATTGTGGTGAAGAAGGAGCTGAGCTGAAAGGCAAAGCTCTCGATTTACTGGTCAATCCACGCTCCTACTCTCACCTATGGTCATGAGCTTTGGGTCAAGACTGAAAAGATAAGATCTCAGATACAAGTAACTAAAATGAGTTTCCTTCGCAGGGTGGCAGGGCGCACTCTTATAAAAAGAAGTCTGGGGTTCTCTTTTTTGCATGTTCTCCCCGTGTTGGTGTGGGTTTCCTCCAGGTGCTCCGGTTTCCCCACAGTCCAAACACATGCACTATAGAGGAACTGGGTAAGCTAAATTGTCTATGTGGGTGAATAAAATTGTATGGGTGTTTCCCAGTGATGGGTTGCAGCTGGATGGGCATCCGCTGCGTAAAACATGTGCTGGACAAGTTTGGCGGTTCATTCCACTGTGGCGACACCAGATTAATAAAGGGACTAAACCAAAAAGAAAATGAATGAATGAATGAAGTTAACTTGATCAGTTTGAGTTGGGACAGCATGAATTATGTGAAACCCTGCATTGTTTTAAAAGGCTAAATAATAACACCAATAATTAAAAAAAACTAGTTTAAAAAATAAATATCAAAAAGCAAATCTTAATTTTGTTGGAAATACATCATGCTAATTACGATAAATACAGTAATAGTGCATAAATAATGCAAAACAGCACTGACTAGAAAACACATCGTACTAATGTAACTGTATATGAGATAACTCGTAATCTATATGCAATACACTGTTTACTTTAGCCATTACCACAGTCGCTCTGTAAATAACGTTAATAGTCATGCGCGTGCTCTCTAGTGTGTGCTGATAATCTGATACTCACGATAGACAATATTCTGTCCACACAGCGTCGACTCGCGGTCATCGTTTATCTCTGTTTAACGTAAATCTGATGAAGTAAAAACACAGACAGCCCGTTAGCGGAGTTAGCATCTGATCATAACCGGAAACACAGCACGCGTATCCAGGACAACGACCGGAAAAACGCTTGAATCCTATGCGCGTTCACCACTCGTTCACGCGGTGAAGTCTAGAAGGGATACAGCTGCGTATACTGATTTTACATTACTGTGAGGGTTGGGGTAGTGTAGATCTTTAATAAAATAAAGATTAATGGGTTATTTAATATTTATTATGAAAATCTTTCGGTAATAATTATTATGAGGGTTTCGGGTTGGAGTAGGGGTAGACGTTAATAAAATACAGTTTAATAATTAATAAATAATATTAAACATTTTCGGTATAATTGATATTTTTTACATTACTGTGAGGGTTGAGTTTAGGGTAGGGGTAGTGGTAGACGTTAATAAAATACAGTTTAGTGAGTGATTTAATAACTAATTCTCGTTAACTACTGGCCGCAGCTGTATCTCCTCTAGAAACAACACGTTCACGCGCGGGTTTTCTCTGGTAGTTTTCCAGAGATTGTTTTAATTTATGAAGTTCATCTACAAATACAACAAATCACTAAAATGTCTAATAATATTGTTTTTCTTGCGTGTTTAAACTGGAAAAAAGGAAAATGCATAAAGTAAGCATTACATATTAAATAATAAACATCACGTATAGTTTGCACCCCTCCTTTCCCAGCAGCTTAACATAAATTATAATTAATAAAAAATATGTTTTACCCATACAGAAATCAAACGCTTTATATATATATATAT